CTTACAGTGCTCTCTTCTCATAGCCTTGTGAATCTTGCAATTCTATAACAGTTCTAATTGTGTCATATCTTCCCTAGGCTTTCTCAGGTACAAGTGGGTACATATCAGTGTCTGGGGTGATTGTCTATCTTTTTAGTAAACCCAATTATTAGTGGCTCATTTGTAGTTTTCTTTAGAATTTAAAATGTCTATTTCCTTTTGCTTTGTTGTCACCGGAAATTGCTAAACAAGTGAAATTATTCACTCCACACCTGTCACATATTTAAAACAGTAGCCCAGTGAATATGACATTGATTTTATTAGATAATTTTTAAATGCTTTAACATCTTAAAAACATAGAATAAAAACCGTAATATCAGGTTTTATCATTTTGGAGGTTTATGGAAGTCCTGACTACTGGAAATTTCTAGAACCTAAAATAAGTTTGGTTGTGGAAACGGTTATGTCAAGTATGCTTAACATGAGAGAGTTGAATGCTTGGCAATTCTGATAAATAGATATTTGTTAGGAAAACATCTCTTTGGTGTCCATAATTTTTTATTATTTAAATTCTAAATCTACACATATTTGCTTCCTTTTATACATTTTACAAGAGAGTATATCTAAGTTGCATTTTGGAACCTCTCCACATTATTCTAAATCAACAGCCAGTATCTATTTGCCTCTCATGATGTGTGTAGCAATTATTCTTTAAACTTTTAATTTAGAAAGAAACTGCTTTGAAATAGATACTTAAAAAATATTTTTCCCTGCGAATTCAGTTCCATTCTGGAATCCCAGGTGACTGGAGTTTGAGAATATTCAGAAATGTTACTTCTGGCCAAAGCATTGATTTCCTAATAGTTTAGTAAGTAAAGAGCAACAGCAAAGCTTTTCTAAGTGGCTTTGCCAAGCAGCCAGTGTTTAAACATGAGAGCAAAATTATATAAGAGATCAGGCATTCCATGATGACTGGCAGCTCTTAAACTGATGTGTGTGTGCATGTGTGTGTGTGTGTGTGTGGGTTTGTGTATAAATGTGAGGTACTTTTTGTGTATCTCAGAGGAAATCAAGAGACCACTACAGACAAGTGAGGTTCTGCAATTACACAGGCGGTGCATGCGGAGACTTCAGTCATTCCACTATTCTGAAGTTTCCCTCATCCAAGGGAAACTTCATGTGTAATTGCAAATACCCACTTTGTTCCAACAGAAGAGGGCATACATTCATGTTGTTCAGACACAGGAAATAGTGTATTTGTTTAGCTTCTACTTGCAGTGATGCTTCGTCTCTGAATTAACAATACAGGTGTATCCTTTCTAGTTGTAATTGTATTGATAAACACTCCACATTGTGATTTTCACTATCCTGAAACTTAGGACCTAGGTGATAATTTGATTGTAATGATAATTTTAACAAAGCAATATAATACGCATTTAATATGGAATAATACAGAAATATTGGGGAAAAAAACTACTACAATTTAAAAATTAGATAAACAGGAAAACACTTGTGTAACACTGTCATATTTTTATTATAAGTCTAGCAAAAACATATGTATGTGTATATGTATGCACACACACGCAAACAAAATTGTGTAATTTTTTTTCCCAAAAATAGTGAATATAAGGTCACTGAGAGAACCAATGACTGATGATATGGATATCAGTTTGATCATATCCTGGAATATAGAGTCAATATCTGGCTATCAAATTTAGTTATTTCACTTTCTGTCCACTTGAAGTATTTCATTCTTGGGCATTTTTGGACACCGAAAATAAGAATATTAAAGATTTCCCACTGGAGAACAGTATAATTAAATAATCATTAAAAACAACAACAAAGAATTTATCAGGACTTGAAAGCCAAACAATGTATGTATTATATTTATGTCCACAGGTCTTAACTTCTCAGTATTATTATTAGTAGTATATTTAAGACAGAATCTCGCTCGGTCAGCCAGGCTGGAGTGCAGTGATGCAATCTCTGCTCACTGCAACTTCTGCCTCCCAGGTTCAAGTGATTACCCCACCTTAGTCTCCTGAGTAGTTGGGATTACAGGCATGCACTACCAAAGCCTGGCTAAGTTTTGTATTTTTAGTAAAGAGGGGGTTTCACCATATTCGCCAGGCTGGTCTTGAACTCCTGACCTCAAGTGATCTGCCCACCTTAGCCTCTGAAAGTGCTGGGGTTACATGCATGAGCCACCTCGCTTGGCCTTCTCAATAACATTTTGATTAATTGATTTTACTTGAGAACACAGTCAGAGAATGGAGAACACTAGACTAGGGCTGGAAGTAGACTTATGAAATACAATGAACTCCTTTGCAGAAAAAAATCTATATTTGGGTACATATAAATGTCTGAAAATAATTTAAAACATGCTGACTTTTATAAAAGCTTATTAATATTAATAATTTTAATAACAACTCACTGTTATTATGTGACGAATCAGTCTCAAGGCATGCACCATGTTATTTTTAACAATGCCTGAAACATCTAACCACCACAGTGTATAAGCATTACCAAAAAGAAAATAATTGGCTCTTCTGTTGTTGGGTAATGTTAAAACATTAAAAGATGAAGTGTATTTTGGACAGAATTCCTCATTAATGTTTATTGTAATGCAAATGTTTTACACTGGAAAACACATAAAAGAGTTAATCTAAGTTTTTTTAACCAATGAAACTGTACAGCTAAAACAATTGCAGCAGTAAAAAGAAACTAAAGGAACCTAGAAATATTGTTTATTGTGCAAAAATGTATATATTTTTAAGACAATTCAGACTTTTAATCCTAAAAACAAATCAAGTGGTGATTTTCTGAAGAATGAATACATAAAAAGTTGATTGCATATTTCATTTTTCAGTCATAACACTAAGTAAAATTGACAAATTATGTTCAGCTTAAGTAGTGGTTCATGAAAAATTCTTCACTCATAATTCTGATAAATAATCATATTTAAACACTTTACATGTGAATACATTCTTGGGACTTGTGCCTATATTCTTCCATCCACTGAATAATTTTAAATGTTAAATTTTATTTGTAAAAGCTATTCTAAAAATAGTTTTTAGCCATCTGAAACTAAATCAGTGATTTAAGAAAAAGTCCAGCTATTGTGAAAGGAATTGATATGAAATGATCTATATTGTTCACCTGTAAAATGTCTGTCTGCATGATACACAGCTCCAGCCCTTGCATTTGGAAATTAAACCTCCACTCCTGAACCAGCGTTAGAAAATAAAAGAGAAAAAATAATTATGGAGATATAAATACCTATCCTATATTCAAACCAATTTTTTATCATTCATACACACACTTCACTCTCTTTTAATATTACAAATTCAAGTACACCAAATACTTCTCTAGAGTAAACTTGTAGCATTTATTGGCAGTATCACCTTCTATATCCCTCTAATCTAACTTACCACGTCAAGGTTTAATGCTGGATGCTTTCCAGCTGCCAAATATCTGAAACACTGTACCTAAGGGCATTTCTAGAAGTCAGCTACGATCAGCAGTAGAGCTGCAACAACCAGGTTAACACTCTGTAGTATCAACCTGTGAGTAAAGCTTCATATAAACAGGTGCATATACTCCCCAACTTCTAGACCTAGAGGACAATACGATCTCAAATTGTGTTTAATTTTTTTTTAATTTTTAATTCCTGTAGGGATATAATAGGTGTTTATATTTATGGGGTACCTGAGATGTTTCGATGCGATGTGTAGTAATCTTGAGGGAAGAATGCAGTATTCATCCTCTAAGCATTTTTCCTTTGTGTTACAAATAATCCAATTATACTCATTTAGTTATTTAAAAATGGGAGTTAAATTATTATTAACTGATTAATTACTGGGTTATTATTGACTATAGTTGCCCTGTTGTGCTATCAAATAGTAGGTCTTATTCTTTCTTTCTAATTTTTTCAGAGTATCATGTTTTATACTATTTCCTCAGCAAGAGTAAATTTTAGTGGTTATTTATGGAAACTGACATAACAATGGACAACTTATTGTTTTTCTTAACTCACGTGTATCATTTTCCCACTTCTGAGCTTCTTTCAAATAAATTAATTGTACTTGTATTAGGGATTGACTTTAGAGGATCAACACCAAGATAAAATAGAAGTTAACTTTCAGGTTGACAAAATGTCCCTGAACATTTACTTTTTTGTCAACTTCTCTAAAGTTACCATAAGAAACCCACAGTTGTTTAAAGTTATTTATTTTAATTTCTTGTAGAAGACTTGTTTTTTTATTATTCACAGAGACAAAAACAATATATATTAGCTAGAATATAGCGACAAAAGAAAATTATATTTAAATCAATACATTTAAACAGGGTTTACAATAGATGTAATAAGATTGCATGTCACAAAGGGAGACATGTCTCTAAGTCTTTACTCATATGAAAAACAAACAAAAAAACAGATGGATAAGAGCAAAGAAAAACTTTGGTTTTAAAGAATTAAGGTCTCTTACTGGATTTGCAAGCTAAATGTTTAAAGTTATTTCGTAGTGTACATCACTCAGTGTTTGTTAATAGCTGATGATTTATTTATACATGACTTTAAGACATACAGAGAGCAGAGTAATTAAGGAGTATACTCCACTTAAGAACTTAACTTCTAATAGTCTACATTTGATACCAAAAAGGTATCACTTCCTGTTTATTTCATTTTTTGTTTTGTACTCATAAAGAATATTTCATTTTCCTCAGGAAAATGGTGTGAAACATATTGGCCTTACTGCTATTACCACGGGAGAAGGAAAAAAATGGTGGCTTGACATATGAGGTGCTCAGTAAATATTGTTGAATGAATGAATTATTAAACAATTGAATAAACCTACTGTGTAGTTTCCTTTTACTTACAGGCATTGAAAAAGTACAGGAAATCCCAATGTTTTCTGGTACCTAGGCTATAAATGGCTTAATAAAAGAATATGTAGGTAGAAGAATCACAAAATTGGGTAACCTTTCTGTACAATAGCATGGGTTTAGCTACTATGGCTGGTTTAGGTCATTTGTCTAAGAGAGTTCCTTTGTCTTACCCTTTGAAAGGCTTCCTTCACTTCCTTGTTTCTCAAGGTATAAATAACAGGATTCAAAGCAGGTGTGACCATTGTGTACATGAGTGCAGCTGCTTTGTCTGTTTCTGGAGTATGTGTATTCTTTGGTTGCAGATAAGTAAACAAGGCAGTGCCATAGAACAGAGAAACAACCAGGATATGAGAAGAACAAGTGGAGAAAGCTTTGTGTCTTCCAGCTGCTGAAGGGATTCTCAAGATGGCCACAAGGATGCGCATGTAGGAGCACAGAATAAGAAAACAGGGACTCATAATAAAGAGCATGGAGACAGCAAATGTCACAGTTTCAATTTGGGAGGTATCAACACAAGCCAGTTTCAGTACAGGCATGATGTCACAAAAAAAGTGTTGAATCTTTCCTGCTCCACAGAAGGGCAGAGTGATGATCAGGGTGATCTAGGCTGACTCCACCACTACCCCAGTGAACCAAGATGCTGCAACCAATTTCAAACAAACACGAGGGCCCATGAAGAGAGTGTAATGCAGTGGATAACAAATAGCTACAAAGCGGTCATAAGCCATGGCTGCTAGTAAGCAGCATTCTGTCAGTCCCAAGATGGTAAATATGTACATCTGGGTTGCACAGCCACCCACACTTATGGTTTTGGTCTCCACCAGCAGGTGCACTAGTGTCTGAGGTACCACACTGGTGATATAGCACATCTCCAGAAATGAGAGGTTCACCAGGAAGAAATACATTGGAGTGTGCAGGGCAGGGGTGATCAAGATCAGGGAGATGATGATGAGGTTTCCTCCTATAGTGCATAAGTAGTTGATTAAGAACACAATGAAGAGTACAAGCTGTAATTCTTCTAGAGAGGAAAAAGCCACAAATGTGAATTTGGTGCACAGGGATTGATTTCCATTTAGAGTGGGCTGAGAGCTAAACATCTGTGAAGAGAGCAAAGAAGGCAGATTAATGGGAATGCAGTCATGTGACACAACTCTCTACTGAACCACAGCAAAGGAGCCTCCCTAGAATCAGTGCTCTGAGATGAGTATCTAGACACCTGGATTTCTTCTGTTAAATCTTTCTAAATAACCACACAATTAAACTGAATACATATTCCTTCCTGATTTTCAGTTATGGATCATATGCTATTTTCACAAACATTTAGAGAAAACAATGATTTTTAAGTTACATATTCTGAATTTTTTGTTTTTGTCTTATCACTAATCATATCTGAAGCTGTTATATAAGTAATATATGAAGACATTTTAATTTTAAAGGAGACACATAAAAATTGATAGATTAAGATGTAAAGTTGTTATAGTCTGTCCTCCCAACACCACTAAATGGTGTTGGGCTGTTTACAATAGCAAAGCCTTGGAACCAACCCAAATGCCCATCGATGATAGACTGGACAGGGAAAATGTGGCACATATACACCATGGAATATTACGCAGCCATCAAAAACAATGAGTTTGTGTCCTTTGTAGGGACATGGATGAACCTGGAAACCATCATTCTCAGCAAACTGACAGAAGAGCAGAAGATCAAACACCGCATGTTCTCACTCATAGGCAGGTGTTGAACAATGAGAACACATGGACACAGGGAGGGGAGCACTACACACTGGGGTCAGTTGGGGGGAAATAGGGGAGGGACAGTGGGGGGTGGGGAGCTGGGGAGAGATAGCAAGGGGAGAGATGCCAGATGTAGGTGATGGGGAGGAAGGCAGTAAACCACACTGCCACGTGTGTACCTATGCAACAACCTTGCATGTTCTTCACATGTACCCAAAACCTAAAATGCAATAAAATAAATAAATGGGGAAAAAATGTATATTAGTACAGACCTTATGGAAAAGAATATGGAGGTTTCTCAAGTAACTAAAAATATAAATACCATATGGTCCAGCAATTCTACTACTGGGTATGTATCCTAAGGAAAGAAGATTAGTATATCAATGAAATATTTTCACTCCCAAGTTTATTACAGTACTATTATAATAGCTATAATATGAAATCAAATCTGTGTCCAAGAGCAGTTAGAGAAAATGTGGTATATATACACAATGAAATATTTAGTCATAAAATAATAAAATTCTGTCATCTGTGGCAACGTGGATGAGCCTGGAGGACATTATTTTAAGTTAAATAAGCCAGGCATGGAAAGACAAATAGTGCATGCTCCCATTCATATGTGGGAGCTAAAACAGTTGATATCACAGAAATAGAGAATAGAGTAGTTCTTACCAAACCCCTGGAAGGATAGGGGTAGAGAGGAATAGGGAGAGGTTGGTTAACATGCACAGAATTACAGTTAGTTAGAAGAAATAAGTTCCAGTGTTCTATAACACAGCAGGTTGACTCTAGTTTTCAAGAATTTATTGTAGCCGGGCGCGGTGGCTCAAGCCTGTAATCCCAGCACTTTGGGAGGCCGAGGCGGGTGGATCACGAGGTCAAGAGATCGAGACCATCCTGGTCAACATGGTGAAACCCCGTCTCTACTAAAAATACAAAAAAATTAGCTGGGCATGGTGGCACATGCCTATAATCCCAGCGACTCAGGAGGCTGAGGCAGGAGAATTGCCTGAACCCAGGAGGCGGAGGTTGCGGTGAGCCGAGATCGCGCCATTGCACTCTAGCCTGGGTAAGGAGAGTGAGACTCCGTCTCAAAAAAAAAAAAAAAAAAAAAGAATTTATTGTATATTTCAAAATAGCTAGATAAGATTTTAAATGTTCTCAACACAAAGAAATAATAAATGTTTGAGGGGATGCATACACCAGTTACTCTGATTTGATTATTATACATTGTATCCATGTATCATTACATGACATTATGATACATGGATACAACGTACCCATTAAATATAATTGTTTTGTGTCAAATAAAAAAATAAGAGTAAATAAATAAAAAATATTTCCATGAACCCAGAACTGGATTACCAGGGGGAAATAAACCTAATGTTTAACATCTGCAATATGCTTGAACACTATAGTAGATGATTTACAATAATTATTTTAATCCTCAAATTTTTCTTGTGAGATGAGAATATTTACCACTTTGCTAACAGGAAATGATATGGCAATTATTTTGATAAAGATCATACACATAGAGAATGAATCAATGGTTATTCTAGGCATTGCATTTGCAGTTTCTCCTATATCCACTTACCTATATTTTCTGATTGTTGATGGTTTTAATTTATTGTTTATAACAAATTATTAGAAAAGAAATTATATAGTAATTATGTGTTCAATTGCTTATGTAATGCTGTCTGAGAGACAGAAATACTATAGCAAGAAGATAAGAATATTCTGATATTTTTAAAGGCATGTACATAATTCTCCTAAAATCACTGTTTAGCATAGATTTTCAAAGCCTGCATGAAAACACCTCAAAAGTTCAGGCATTTTCTTAAAATATTTTTTAAATAAATATTTTAGCTACTATTTTAATTACCCAAGTGGTATGCCTTCTAAACAGTAACTTTCAGATTAGTTGAAAAGTATAGTCTGGTTACTAAAAAGATATATCACTTACTTTAAAGCACACAAATGCTATTTTACACAGCTTTAGTGTTTACATACCTTTAGTGTATACACATCACCTTTGAATAAATTTAATTTGTTTTTACCATTCCTGAAGGGTTGATGTCCCCTGGATTAATTCATATATTTAAGTTCTGAAACTGAAATCTGTGAACCAAGTCCTAGACCAATGTGAGATCACATTTGACTTTGTTCATGAGCCACTAAAAGGCCTCTCTTACTGACGTTTCTTTATTTTTTATTTCCTTAAAATAAACTTCATCAAATGAGACTTACGAACAATGTAATCTTTTTTACATGGGGGTCTATGCCTATTTTATGCATCAAATCCACTATCTCATTAGTGTTTACCACTTTGTTGGTGAACCAGAGTATCTGCAGAAAAATAATTATTGACATTTTAAAGCCAGGTAAACCCAAAATTATAACAACATGAAAAGTTTTCAGCTAAAGTAATTAAGATGCACTACCTACAAGATGGCAGTGATATATAGTCAGTCAATGAATTGTACAATTCAATTTTAGAAATTGCTTGATAAGGAACTGGACTATTTTAGAGTGGCAATTGGGCACATATGTAGCAGGTTGCATTTTATGTTTTTAAAACATGTTTTTGCATGGTGGGTGTAGGGTAATTGTCATTTAGGAATAGATAATGCAGAAGTAACTCCATTGAAATTTTACCTCATCTTTGGATAATGGGATTTTCATGGCCTTCTTTTTAAGGTCTTATCAATCTTTTTTAAAAAATATAATTTCAACTTTTATTTTAGATATACAGGTACATGTACAGGTTTGTTACATGGGTATATTGTATGACCAAAGTTATACATCTTTCATTAAAACATTTAAAAACAAAACAAAAGCATAACATGTGATACAGTAATGCACCATTTTTCATGTGATTGTTTTTGCTCAATATTACAAATGTTTTCTTCAGTATGGTGCATAGTTATATATTTGGTATAAGTATGAATGAAGATAGACCAAATATATTTTATATCACAGTTTCTTTTTTTTTCTTGGAAATGATTAGAGACTTATTTTACTTTTTTTAATGGTAGATGTACCCTACTGAAGATTTTTTAAAGAATACATTTTGGCTGAGTACAATGGCTCACACCTGTAATCCCAGCTCTTTGGGAGGCTGAGGCAGGCAGATCACCTAGGTCAGGAGTTTGAGACCAGTCCGACCAATATAGTGAAACCCCATCTCTACTAAAAATACAAAAATTAGCCGGCCGTGGTGACGGGTGCCTGTAGTCCAGCTACTTGGGAGGCTGAAACAGGAGAATGGCTTGAACCTGGGAGGTGGAGGTTGCAGTGAGCTGAGATTACGCCACTACACTCCAGCCTGGGCGACAGAGCGAGACTCTTGTCTCAAAACAAAAACAAAAACAATAACTTTAACCCATTATAGTATTATTTAGTTTCCTGAGAAAATGAGGGTTAAGGAATTTTCCTTTAACTTCTACAAATACAGGAAGTTTTTTCTTTTCTAGAAAGAAGTAAAATTAGCAAGTGACGAACCTTCCTCTCTAGCTATTTGTTAAGGCACCTATATATGCATAGGTTGACCTAAACTCCTAGGGCCTCCTTTTTTTTTTTTTGCACCCAAAGATTTCATTAGAATTTTTTGAAGTATTCCCACTGTGCTAATTTGTAACTGTTTTAAGGTTTATATCTATTTATAAAAGTTGCCTCTACAACAAATATAAGATAAGAAAATAAAGGGAGTTATTTCTACAGTTCTGTTTGTGCATTACAAAATAACTTCAATGTATAATGTTATTTCTCAATATTAAAATTACCTAAAACATTCCAAGGACTAAAAAAATTGCTTACTTCTTCCTGACAGTAACCGTGTTAGACATCATAAGGTACCACTCACTGACTGAAATAATATATGAATCATGGCATTGTTTACAATGTTCTCATAGTAAAACGAACCAATAGCCAAACGACTTAAGGTATAAGACAACAATAAAATACATGCCAATTATCAGCTTAATTTGATGTATTTAATTATTTAAAAATATTATTATGGAAATAAGTTAAAATACTAACATTTAAAAATGAGTTACAAATAAAATTTAAAAATCATGTAAGTTTCATGAGCATGAAATAAACCTGTCTCACCAATACTGAACCAAAAACTATCCCACAAAAAATACAGATATCTTATAGGGAAAATTAAAATCTGTGTTCTTCAGATAGCCTGGGCATGTTAAAAGTTGCAGTTCCAAGAGACCTGACCAGTAGGTCCAGTAGCTCCACCACAAAATATCTATTATTGAGAAATGCATATTCAATTGTAATTATGACTTACAAAAAATATAGATAATTGTATGAACATTCTGTATTTCCCCCTGTGAAATAAAAACAGTTGTTTA